AGATATTCTTTACGTATGTTGCACAAGACGTTGTAGGTCTCATGCGACACACAACTCCAAAATTTGACGCTGTCAACATTTCTTTTCGCAACGAATGCCACAATTCGCTTTCATTTTGGCCTATCGTTTCGCGTTCAATCTGTTTCCAGTTCTTTCCATTTTCGGACAATTTTTGTAAATGATTCCGCTTCAATTGTTCGAAAGTGTCAGATGGAAGATCTGGTTTTTGCGATTGTGGACCGTAATGACAGTCTGTTCCTGCTTTTGGTTTCACTTTTTTCGGTTTTCCAATAAATTGGAAAATTCCTAAAATATAGTAAAATATACAATTACAAACAAAAATTACAAAATAAAATTTCAATTGCGTATTTTAATGAACAAACATATTATAACAATATAATAGCCAAATATCAGTATTTCATAGAAATTATTGTTTCTTTTCTTACTTTCTTCGACTTTATGAATTTGTGAATGAGACTTGCCAAACGATCGTTGCAGATTATTATCATTGTCTTCATAACTTGAAGAAAAGTAACTCTCAGAGGAATTGTTGCTCACATCTGTCTCGTTAGCATACGGGAGATCACTTATTGTTAGTTGGTTCCCAGTAGTAGCGTCCACTTCCTCCACCATTGGTGCAACTACATTTATCAATAATCAGATGCAGATATTTTTGCGTATAAAATTTATTATTATCATAACATCTTTCAAGGTGATGAAAAATAGAATAGATGATGTACAAAACATTTTTTCATTAGTAATTTTCAAGTAAGCTTCTATATAATATTAACTTCAAAAATTGTGCAATACTTTATTATTTTCAGTGAAATTTTAGTTTGCTTTCAATGCTTATACAAAATCTGACAATGTCAAAAATTTGCAATGAAGTATATATATAAAGGTATAAAATCTGAAAATACACAACTTTTTATTCTCCACAACTGAATTATATCGAATATTTTAATTTTATTTTTATTTTCTCTTTGTAACTTCAAAATTTATATACCTTTTTCATTATGAAAATTTAATCAATTTTAATATATATAAATGTGATATATTATACATATTATACTTATTCCTCATATATTTACTATACTTATAGTCATGCGCCTGCTTTTTTTATTTATGTGTGGATGGAAATTAAAAATTTATCAATTACTTTTTTCTGTCGCTGCTTGCACAGAATTTATCCACTTTTGGTGAGTTTGATGAGATACTTCATGCCTGTCGTAATCAGGTTCAATAAATTTATTGTACCGCCGCCGCTTCGACATAGTGTCACACGTACCTAATATATTTATAGTGTTAGCCCCTGAGAATGAAAAAAGAATTGTAAGTTTTCAACTGAAATGTATATACATTAATTATTTATAAATTTATGTAATTATTATCTTGCGTATATAATTATATATCTTGGGTATATAATTATTGAAGTGAAAATTTAATACATAAAAAATATAAAAATAGTTACTTTTAACATAAAAAGCTTCAATATTTTTCATGCAATCTTATTTCAAACTTTTTAATAAGTTCTGACATCATAATTCTTTAATAATAAACTTTACCTAGAAAAATTGTATTTAATAATATTTAACAGTATTTTTATATTAAAAATAACACGTAATTCAATAAACAAGGCAAGATAAATCTTCAAATATTGAAAATAATAATATTAATAAAGTATTATCAAGTATTATAAACAATACAAAATGATTAATACATATAATTATCATTATATTGTAACACGCATGAACGTTGCAAAAAATACTAGAACGTATAGCCCAAGTGCATATACAGGGTGTCCCGTAACGCTTAATTAATATTTCAAGGTGTGAAAGAGAATGAAATTTTGAATTAAAAGTTCCTCTTTCAATTTTGACTCAGACCATTATTTACAGAGTTATTAACGAATAAAGTTAATCAAT